ATTAGTTACCTGTGATCCGCAGTGAGGACGCGACTGTAGTGTATGACTTGTCATGTTTCAGCATAGTTTTAATGGTGCTCACACATGTAAACTATCCGTGCTAAATGGGCTCCGTTGTACTGACAATGGAACGATTCTCTTTGAGTTTGCAGTAAAAACATTAAGATATTTCCGATGTTCACCCACGTTTGAACTGTACGACTACCTGGACATTTTAATCCCATAATTCAAGGATACCAAGAATAACGGAGCTGAGAAACGGATATTACACTTACTGCCTTTCCGCCTGAAACATGATTCTTGCAGCACACACGTTGACAGGTGATCACGGATCGGTGTCCCCACCGGCTTCCGTAACCGAAGGGCACCAAAGACGCCTGGACTAAAATTGCATGTGTCAAGAGATTGCCTGGCATTTTGATTCAAGGGCTATTTACTCTACACGGAAAAAGTGAAGTTAAGAACATGGGATAGTTGATCGGTACCACCGGCCTCATCACAATACGGCAAGACTGCTGTAGTCTGTAGTGACAAAATCGCCTACTCCTTAACCCAGATGGCATACATAGTGACAGATTTGGCCCGAATCAAGAGGAAACGCAGACGTATGTTGAGTTCATCATATCCGGATTTCAGTGTACTGCCTTACGATATATAGTCACCATTACTAACCGTACGGTACTGCTGGAGTTTGATCTGGAGGTCTCACATAGCAAGCAGGACACAAACAATGGGCTGATGTGAGTTCAGTTTTGTGTACACATCTCGACGGAGCTGTGGATTACAGACAAGATAGTTTGATCTCTGGTTGTTCCTCATTGATCTGTGCCGGTCAGCAAACAAGCTGAGTCACTCTGAGAGAATACACACAAAACCTATTTTTCAAAGCTCCCACCAGACCTTCGTGTCTGTTCCAAACGATAAACGACTTGTACGGAGTGGGATTTATGAAAAATTCGTAATAACGGGGGGGGGGGTTGGCCACTGAGTATCCCCCAGGGGGGGTGAAAAATTGATAGAATGACCTGCTACTGTGGTGAACTCAGCAGATCAGCTCTAAGACTAGCATGGAAAATAAAAAAACGTCGCCCATTTTGGTCGATTATATATATGTATATGATCACGCTGGCGGCAAATCAGTGACTGAATAAAGCATCTCATTTGCTTCGAAAAATAACCACCGCTTTTCAAAAATTCCTCCGCGTTTAATTAGCCAAAAACCCTCGGAATCCGTAATTTTGTGATCGGTCAATAATTAGAATTTGCAATTTTCATCATCCACTTCCAAGATCTCTGTATTTGCAGTGGTGTATATTTGTTGTGTATCGATTGTTTGACTATCTTACCACAACATCGCGTTGACTGATTAGCTGATTCATTGGAATCAACGAGCACCGTATGACAGCGATTTACTTTTGATCACATCCCTGCTCTCGATAAAGTTGAACTAATTTTCGTCTCATAATCTCCCGTATTTTTCAGCGGCTTTCGTTAGTCTAGCTGACAAAACCCATTGGTCAGTGTCAAATATTTTTGTCCACAGCTCCGGTGAATTTCATCATTCAAGTGCTGGTGCCGCGTCTGATCGCCAGACCGTCATTCGCCAACCGCTGGAAACGCTGAAGGCCAAGACCATCCTGGTTGCTCAACAAAATTAGCTTGTCGACCACGCCAACTGAGTTCAGT